AAGAACACCAAAGACACAAGGAAAGTATTAGCCCAAGAGACAGAAAGGGCCACATAAACCAGAGACTTCATCAGCCTGAGACCAGAAGAACTAGATGGTACCCGGCTGCCACCAATGACCGCCCAGACAGGGAACACGACAGAGTTCGTGATGGAGCAGGGGAAAGGTGGGGTGCAGAACTCAAATTGTGGTAAGAAGACCAGACTTAATGGTCTGACTGAGACTGCAGGAACCCCGGAAAGCATGGCCCCCAGGTTCTCTATTAGCCCAGAATGAAAACAATTTCTGAGGTCACCTCTTCAGACAGGGATTGGACTGGACTGTGGGACATAGTGATACTTGTGAGGAGTGTGCCTCTTAGCTCAAGTAAATACAAGAGACTAAACGGGCACCTTCTGTCCAGAGGTGAGATGGGAAGGCAGAGAGAGTTAGGAGCTGGTTGAATGGACATGGGAAATCGGGTGGAAAGGAGGAGTGTACTGTCACAGTATGGGGAGAGCAATTAGGGTCACATAACAGTCTATGTATAAATGTTTGTATGGGAGACTAAGGTGAAATGCAAATTTCACTTAAACTACAACAACAACAAGAAAAATGTTTAAAACTATGGTGATTTCCCAAAGACACAAGGAAAATATTAGCCAAAGAGACAAAAGGGCCACATAAACCAGAGACTCCATCAGCCTAAGAGCAGAACTATATGGTGCCCGGCTACCACCAGTGACCGCCCTGACGGGGAACCGACAGAAAGTCCCTGATGAAGCAAGAGAAAAGTGTGGAGCAGAGCTGAAATTCATGTAAAAAAAAACAGACTTAATGGTCTGACCGAGACTAGAGGAACCGTTGAAGCCATGGCCCCCAGATGCTCCGTTAACCCAGAACTAAAACCATCTTGAAGCCCACTCTTCAGACAAAGATTAGACTGGACTATAAAACATAAAATAATACTCGTGAAGACTGTGCTTTTTAGTTCATGCAGATGCATGAGAACAAGTGGGCAGCTGCTGTCCAGAGGCAGGATGAGAAAGCAGGAAGGGACAGGAACTGGTTGGATGGACCTGGGAAACCCAGGGTGAAAGGGGGAGTGTGCTGTCACATTATAGGCATTGTAACTAGTGTCACATAACAATTTGTGTATAAATTTTTGTATGAGAAATTAACTTGAAGTATAAACTTTCACCTAAAGTACAATTGAAAAAAAAAAAACAGAAAATTAAAATTAATTAATTAATAAAACTGTGGTGATTCTGTCTCTTATCTATCCCTCCTCTCCATTCTCTCACTTAAGGCTGTTGCATCAGCCTCGAAATTAGTTTCCATGCCCCAAGGTACCAGCGTCTTCGTTTTACAAAAGGATCTATCCTGTTTTTCCTCTGCTCAGAAGCCTCCAGGTCCTCACCTTGTTGCTTCAGTTGTGCCTGCCCCCATATAGCCTTCACCTCCCTTTTCAGTTTCATCCTCCCTTCCTTCCCCTACCCTACAGAGACCTGCAGTACCAGTGCTGTCAGCCTGCTCAGCTGTCTCTGGTCATGGCACGTACAATCACACCTCAAGCCCATCTTTACTGGTTTAAAGTCTACCCAAAGGTCGCCAAGAGTCAGTCAGGATCCACTCTATGGCAGCTAACAACAACAAACATCTTTCAAAGCCTACCTCCTCCAAGAAGCCTTCCTCTATCGTTGTGTGCCTTTGAGTCAATTGTGACTCCTAGTGATGCTATATGACAGAGTAGAACCTCCCCGTAGGGTTTCCTAGGCTGTAATCTTTACAGGAGCAGATCGCCAGGCCTTTTCTCCCAAAGAGTGACTGGTGGGTTCCAACCTCTAACCTTTCAGATAATAGCAGAGTGCATAACCATTGTGCCACCAGGCCTCCTTCTCCTCTATCATTACCTCCTCCATATTGAAGCTCATTTGGTTTGGACTTCTCCTGTGGTCACAATCACTAGCTGCCTTCTAATACACTGATTTCTGGAGAATTCTGCCTCCTCCTGTGGTCATGTCCCAGGCACAGACTGATAGGGTCTGGACTCACAGTGCCTATAACCTGTACACAGTAAGGACTTCATGAAAGTGTGCTGAATTATTGACTCAGAGTTGCCTCTGCACACCATGTGCTGGAAAGCCAGAGTCAACCCTGCTGTGTTCCATAATTATGTCATAAATGTGTGTGATTTTTTGATATACAGGAATCTATTAAATTATACATGTAAACTATCCCACTTGGGATGATGCATAAAAATGCGCATGTGTTAAAATGTAAGGTTTATGGGCGTATCAGTTTGTATCCAGAAAAGCTTTCTTCCGTAACTGGCTAGTAAACATTTGAGTCTGAACTTAATTTTAGGCCATTCCTTGGAAAAAAAATGATACTATAGAAAGCCAGGTGTGTCCTAGGGGCAACCACAGATAATTATAGTGATAAAACATTTCTATAATACTGCTGCTTAATATAAAAAGCATATTTTTGATTCTTGATTTGTCTCTCCTTGTTTTGACATTGTAAAGTGACGATATTTTGTTAACATGAATATTACTGCAGCTGGAAACTTGCTTTGTTAACTGGAATATCCTTAACTATTTTTTTCTTTGTAAAACTTAAGAGTTTTAGATGCTTCTTCTCTCTTCTAATTCTGTACATCTCCAATACTTTGCCTAGCTCTCCACCCTTCTTTGCAGTGCTATCATCTGTGTTTCACACCTGTGTTTCACATAGAACATAGTGAAAGATAAATAGGAAAAGCTAACCACTTCCCAGCATTTATTGGCATGAAGCCCCTTCTGTGTTCATTGAAGTGCCATGTGAGTCAACTCTGTATTGCTAGATGACTTTTTTGTTTCTACCAAAGCATGCAGGGATTCGGGGATGTGGATTTATGTGAGAGGTCAACATGAATGATATTCTGAACCAAAGGTGCCAGTATAACCATTTGGCACAAGCCATCTCCAGAAAAATATGCCCCTTAACCCACATTGCTTTATAGAACTTTGAAAGAGGCTTTTGTATCATTTTGGAGCCCTGGTGGTTAAGAGTTCGGCTGCTAACCAAAAGATTGGCAGTTCAAATCTACCAGCTGCTCCTTGGGAACCCTATGGGGCAGTTCTACTCTGTCTTATAGGGTCTTTGTGAGTCGGAATTGACTGGATGGCAACGGATTTGTTTGTTTTTGTATCATTTAACTTTTGGGTGAACCTTTTCTAGAAAATTAAATTTGTTATAATTGTACAGATATTGGTGAATCCTTCTTATCTTGGGCCTGGCTAGAGATTTGGATTTCCTGGGTGGTACTGCTAGGATGCCTGTCTCTTTGGCCATTTGTCCATCTGTCCACCCACCCATCCATTCCCTCATGGTTGCTGTACAACTGGAATCCTTCTGGCCTGGATTCCTGTCTGATTCATCTCAGAATTCCCTGCAGCATCTTCAGAGAGACTCATGTTTCAAAGGCCCAGTAACTTCCCTGGGTAATGATGGAAGTGCTCATTTCTCTCAGCACCACTGTGTGTGTGTGGGGTGGGGGTAAGGTTGGAGGGGGCTGAGAATAAGGGACCTGTTTGTGGGGATGGGGTGCCAGAAAGGAACCCTTGACCTCATACAACTCTAGGCTGTGCTCTCCCAGTTATCCGACCTGTTTGAAATACCGTATCAGTGGTGGGCAGGGGTGACATGTGTGGTTGGCATTTAACAGTTTTTTGGTGTGTATGTGTATGTATTTGACTTTACAGGTCAGTTTTTGGGTTGTTCGAGAAATTCTAACAGCACAGACGTTAAAAATAAGGGCAGAAATCCTGAGCCATTTTGTGAAAATAGCCAAGGTAAGCGGTTTTATTATATTTTCTTTCCTTTCTCCCCCCTCCACTTTTTTTTGTCTCAAAAATGTGTTTCCTCAGTACTTCGGGCATCCTCATGTGGGAGCTACTTTGCTCTGGGCCTGCCAGGAAGGGTTCTTGAAGGAGGTTGTGGCCTGACTCCCTGAGCAGAACCAGTTATAAGAGCAGCCTGGCTTCCCACTCAGCCCCCCATACATTGGCAGCATGCCTTCCTACCTCATAATTTAGGAGACCAGCTACTCTTATTACTTGGGCTTTCACAGAATCTCCACGAGGCCCCAGCAGCTACCCCTTGAATTCATCCATCCTTCTTCAGATTTAGCCGGTACTGGGGGTTGATGAGAAACCTGATGGCATAGTGATTAAGAGTTCGGCTGCTCACCAAAAGATCAGCAGTTTGAATCCACCAGGTGGTCCTTGGAAACTCTGGGGCAGTTCTACCCTGTCTTATAGGGTCGCTATGAGTCAGAATCGACTCGATGGCAGTGGGTTTTTTTTTTGTTTGGGGGTTGATGAATTTTAGTTAGCATCAGTGTTTGTAGTAACATCACATCCTGCACAATTTTGTCACCAGTCAGCAGAGTCCACTCCCGTTCTGAGCTTAAGGCCTGTGCCAGATGACTCTGCTGTCCCTACCTCCACCTTCTGCCCCCTGGTCTCATAAGTTCTGTCCCTGCCAGTTGTTGGATACCAGGCTGGCATCTATACCCAGCATTTTCACTCCTCTTCCCTCACCTTTGCTGACTCAGGCTGCATCTTTCCTTGGGACCTTCCTAGGGTCCTCCTTGACCACTCTCATCACTTACATGACCTGGTCAGCTCCTCCCCTTCTGCTGCTCCCAACCACCGGGGCTTGCCCAGCTCTTGTTCTATCTGTACGATGCTTGCTTTGTGTATCTGTTGTCTTCCTACCCAGATCCTAGGGAAGCTAACATTGCTGAGGACCCTTACGAGCCAGGCACTGTAGCAGTTGCTTTACTGACATGATCTTTTTTTTTTTTTTTAATTTTTTTATTGTACTTTAGATGAAGGTTTACAGAACAAATAGTTTTTCATTAAACAGTCAGTACACATATTGTTTTATGACATTGGTTAACAACCCCATGACATATCAATACTCTCCCTTCTCAACCTTGAGGACCTTTTTTTTTGGTGAAAAGACACATAGCTAAAGTTACACCATTTCAAAAGTTTCTACATGTACAATTCAGTGACATCGATTACATTCTTCCAGTTGTGCTGCTATTCTCACTGTCCTTTTCCAAATTATTCCATCACCATTATCTTCAACTCACTGTCCCCTAGGCTTCCCATCAAACCTTTTGAGTTGCTGTTGTCAATTTGATCTCACACAGATAATTCTTTTTTTTTTTTTGTACCTTAGATTAAGGTTTACAGAACAGTTTCTCATTAAACAGTTGGTACACGTATTACCCTATGACAATGGTTAACAACTCCATGACATGTCAACACTGTCCCTTCTCAACCTTGGGTTCCCTAACACCAGCTTTCCTGTCCCCTCCTGCCTTCTAGTCCTTGTCCCTGGACTGCTGTGCCTGATTAGTCCTGTTTTGTTTTATGAGGCTGTCCAATCCCCGGCTGAACAGTGAACTTCGGGAGGGGCTTCACTACTGAGCTAAAAGGGTGTGCAGCCGCCATACTCTCGGGGTTTCTCCAGTCTCTGTCAGGCCAGTAAATCTGGTCTTTTTTTTTTTTGTGAATTAGAATTCTGTTCTACATCCTTTTCCAGCTCTGTCCAGGACCCTCTATTGTGATCCTGGTCAGAGCAGTCAGTGGTGGTAGCCGGCTACCATCTAGCTGTACTTGACTCAGTCTGGTGGAGGCCATGGTAGCTGTGGTCCATTAGTACTTCGGACTGATCTTTTCCTTGTATCTTGTTCTCTTCATTCTCCCTTGCTCCTGAAGGGGTAAGACGATTGGAGTATCTTAGATGGCTGCTCACAGGCTTTTAAGACGCCAGACGCTACTCACCAAGGTAGAATGTAGAACATTGTCTTTACAAACTGTGTTATGCCAGTTGAGCTAGATGTTCCCTGGGCCCATGGTCCCCACAGCCCTCCACTCAGCAATTCAGTCTCTCAGGGAGTTTGGAAGTGTCTATGGAGCTTCCATGACCTTTCCTTGTACAAGTTGTGCTGGCTTCCCCAGTATTGTATACTGTCTTACCCTTCACCAAAGTTACCACTTATCTATTTAGTTCCCCCACCCCATCCCTCATAACCAACAAAGATTGTTTCTTTTTGTGTGTAAACTTTTACATGAGTTATAC